TTATAACAGTTCGAGAACTTCAACCTATGTAGAAGGATGCCTCTGTGTGGACATTTGACCATGGCAAGTCAAAGGGGAAACGACTTGTCAAGCCAGCAATGAAAAATCATACTATCTTCAATATTTTCTTCCCAGAACAGGGTAAAAATAAAAAATATAATATTTTAAAGACACATATGGAATCATAGCTCTTTTAAGCAACAGCATTTAAAGTGGTATCTTCCACACCCATGAAAATATGTAGCTGAGTAACTGTGATGGGTGCCTCGACTGTAACTCAGCAGAATTTACCCGATTCCTTGATGGACATGTGCAACGCCTCCTGTTTCTTGTCCTATGATATTCCCACGAGCACCTCTGTATGTGTATGCATGCATTCATGTGTCAGGACTTACGGATTACTTAGCATGAATTCCTACAAGAATTATCAGCTCAAATAATAGGCAACTGCCAGTGCTCAACCGTTCTTCTACTCAGAAAAACAGCAAGGTAAAGGGAGCCACCAATCAAAACAACTCAAGAGTACAAGCACAGCTGACGCTCTCAGGACACCTGCTGCCCCCCTGAGAAATCACCACGCTGTTTCCCACGGCCTCCTGTGGCTTCCGCATCAGCTTCCCCTCCTTCCTACTCACTCTCTCCTGGCTTGACACACCAGCAGCCCACGTGGAAAAGAGGAGTGACCATGATTACCCTTACATCTCCTTTAAAATGCATGTGCTAGTATGCAAGTACAAAATAAACATGACCATTAGAATAATTTTAGAATGTTTTAAAATCTTTCTGGATGTTACAAAAAGGTACCATCTAACTGAGAAACTTTGAAGAAGAGAGTGTAGAGATGGATGACCACGGCAGGCAGGCTGCAGGGCTGGAAGGATCATACAGAGTACGCAGGGGATACACCACCCAGAACGTGCCGCTCACACCGCCACCTTACACGCGACGGTAAACACTGAATCCCCAGACGCCTGGTACTGTCCACAACGCCCCATCACTGGGCAATCCCGTGGCAGACCGACTTGCCTGGTTTCATCAACAGAACCACCCTTGGGCGGGCAGCACTTGCCACTGCTTCACCGGCCGAGGCAATCAACCGCAGAGTCAGAGGCACCTCACAGCCGCGGCTGCTGACTGCAGAACCACGGGGCAGGCTAGTGCTCACCCTAAGTTCCTTTAAGCAAGGCCATCCTTACTCTGCACTTTCACTCCAGGTTTTAAGACAACTCAACTGAATTCTATACACGGCAAACACAGAAGCAAGACCTCCCAAAAAGGGAAACTAGGACACCCAGGAGCCGTGAAAAAGGAACAAAACAGTTACAGACTCTCGGTCAGCCTAGCAATTATAGAAAGGAGTGCCTATCTAGGCCTGCATTAAGCATGCTAGAACCCAGTATCACCAAAGTCACCACAAAGTGCCCTGGTGGGCAGATTTTTTCAAGGAAAGTGTGTCAGTGCACTCACAGGTCGTCCACAGGAGAGAGAATGCGGTACAGGTCAAGGGAGTGTGTCAGTGCACTCACAGGTCGTCCACAGGAGAGAGAACGCGGTACAGGTCAAGGAAGTGTGTCAGTGCACTCACAGGTCGTCCACAGGAGAGAGAACGCGGTACAGGTCAAGGGAAGTGTGTCAGTACACTCACAGGTCGTCCACAGGAGAGAGAACGCGGTACAGGTCAAGGGAGTGTGTCAGTACACTCACAGGTCGTCCACAGGAGAGAGAACGCGGTACAGGTCAAGGGAGTTTGTCAGTGCACTCACAGGTCGTCCACAGGAGAGAGAACGCGGTACAGGTCAAGGAAGTGTGTCAGTGCACTCACAGGTGGTCCACAGGAGAGAGAACGCGGTACAGGTCAAGGAAGTGTGTCAGTGCACTCACAGGTCGTCCACAGGAGAGAGAACGCGGTACAGGTCAAGGGAAGTGTGTTAGTGCACTCACAGGTCGTCCACAGGAGAGAGAACGCGGTACAGGTCAAGGGAGTTTGTCAGTGCACTCACAGGTCGTCCACAGGAGAGAGAACGCGGTACAGGTCAAGGAAGTGTGTCAGTGCACTCACAGGTGGTCCACAGGAGAGAGAACGCGGTACAGGTCAAGGGAGTGTCAGTACACTCACAGGTCGTCCACAGGAGAGAGAACGCGGTACAGGTCAAGCACCCTAGTCCACAAGTCGGAAATGTCCCCAAATTAAAAGTCGGAAATGTCCCCAAAGTAAAAGTCGGAAATGTCCCCAAATTAAAAGCTTTTTGAGCACCAATATATCGCCACAAGTAGAAAACTCCACTCCATGAAAACGACTCATGCACAAAATATTTAAAAATACTGTATATATAAAATTATCTTCATACAATGTGTATTAGGTATAAATGAAATATAAACAAACTTTGTATACTGACTAGGGGTCTCACGCCAGATATCTTATTACCTATGTGCAAATTTGAGCTTTTTAAACAGTATTTATTCATTTATTTTCCAAAACTCTGAAACACTTCTGGTTCTACGTGTTTCAGACAAAGGGCACAAAACCTGAATACACATTCCTTGTCACCTCCTTCACCAAGATATTCCATCAGACGGCTGAAGAGTGAGATGTCACACACGGTGAACCAAGGTGTAAATCGAAACTCAGGTTTCCTTACGAGCAGCGCTCCACAACCTGAGCTGGGACCAAACAGGCCTTCTCTCTTACCCGTTCACCAGACTTCACCTTCTCCTCAGGCAGCCCTGAGTGAGTGCAGGCCAAGTAAGCTGCCGCCTGCGATGCCAGCAGATTATACTGGAGTGCCGGTTTGAGTCCGCTGCTCCACTTCCTATCCAGCTCCCTCCCTCCCTCCTTCCCTCCCTCCTTTCTTTCTTTCTTTCTCTCTTTTTTAAGATTTGTTTATTTGAAAGGCAGAGTTACAGAGAGGCAGAAGCAGACAGAGGGAGAGGTCTTCCATCTGCTGGTTCACTCCTCTAGTGGCCTCAACGGCCAGAGCATCCAGCTCTTTTCTAATGGGCCTGGGAAAGCAGTACAAGATGGTGCAAGTCCTTGGGTCCTGGCACCCCGCACAGGAGACTGGACAGAGCTCCTGGCTCCTGGCTTCGGCCTGGCCCAGCCCTGGCTATTGCGGCCATCTGAGAGTGAAACAGAAGACAGAAGACCAAGTCTGTCTCTGTAACTTTACCTTGCAAGTGAATTAATAAATCTTTACAAAAACAAAAGATACTTACTTACCTTAAGTCCATTAACCTGACACTTCCTTTATTACTACCAATCACACAAGAAAACAGGACCTCCCCACCCACTGCAGAGGCAGAAACCTGCTTCTACGCAGGAACACCCATCGTTACTTCACGCGCAGACAACAGCCTCTCCACCTCTCTCTGCTCTTTCTCGGCAGGACGTGCCCAGACTCATACAACAGACACTTTTCCTTCATTATTTCACTTTCCATTTTAGCTCAATCGCTGCGTCCTACCAAACCCATCCACTAAATCCACTTACTACTGTACTCGTCTGTCTGGCTTGTCAGGACACCTGAAGAGTCTCCAACGTGCTTGGAGCCTATAAAGTACTGCCTCCTATGAAGACCCTCCATCTGGGGGGGTGTCCCACTCGAGGGGACAAATCAAGCACTTCGGGGGCGCACGCCGGGCCTGCCAGTCGAGATGCCCGTTAAGGCACTCATGGCCCTACTGCAGCATCTGGGCTGGGTGCCCAGCGCTGCTCCCGACGCCACTGTTTTGTTCAGGCGATGGTATGGCTGACGTACTCAGCGGAGTTGATTTTTGCGAATTATACAAATCACTATCAAAATTATACTGATATAGCTGGCTCCGACAATAATGTCTACATAAAACAAGCTTATTGACGCTGAAATATAATACCTACTAGGATTGGTGTTCTTTTGTTTTCTAATTTATTTATTTGTGAGACAAGAGTTACAGAGAGAGGGAAAGACGAAAGAAGTCTTCTATCCTCAACGGCCAGAGCTGGGCCAATCCAAAGCCAGGAGCCAGGAGCCTCCTCCAGGACTCCCCCATGGACGCAGGGCCATCTTCCCACTGCTTTCCCAGTGGGGAAAGAGAGCTGGATAGGAAGAGCAGCAGCCAGGAACCAAACAGGCACTCATATGGGATGCCAGTGCCGCAGGACAGAGGCTAAACCACTGTGCCACAGCGCCAGCCCCTAGAGTTAACTTTTCGAAGATCTGCCTACAGGACTGGCATTTGCTACAGTGATTAACCCGCCACTCGGGACATCAGCATCCCATGTGGGAATGCCTGATTCCAGTCTCCACTCCTCTACTTCTTCTTCAGATTTATTACTTATTTGAAAGAGTTACAGAGAAAGAGGGACAGAGAGACAGACAGACAGACAGGGAAGGGAGAGAGAAAGAGAGAAAGAGGGCCACCTGCTGGTTCACTCCCCAGATGTCCCAGCAGCCAGGGCTGAGCCAGGCTGAATTCAGGAGCCAGGAGCTTCTTGAGCTCTCCCACGCGGGTGGCAGAGGCCCAAATGCTGCCTTTCGCAGGCCATCCGCAGGAGGCTGGATGTGAAGTGGGCCAGCTGTAAGGGATGCATGTCACAGCTGGCTGCTTTACCTGCTACACCACACCGCCAGCCCGGCCACTTCCGATCCAGCTTCCTGCTACTGTATACCTTGAGAGGTGGGAGATGACGGCTCAAGGACTTGAGTTACCGTCATGCACTTCGGGGACTCAGACTAAATTCCAGGTTCCTGGGTTCAGGCTGGCCCTGCTGAGGCTGTTGTGGGCACTTGGGGAATAAACCTGCAAGTGGAAGATCTCTCTCTCTCTCTGCCTTAAAAAAGAAAATACAGACAGGTTTTTAACAATTTTCTCAAGCATACAAAAGTTCAGAAAGTACCAAGACTTCTACTGCCCTAGAGCAACAAATTTGTCATCTCCAAAACATTAGATTTAATTCTGAAGTAAAAACATGTAATAGGCAGGGTTCAAAGAAACAGGAAGTGTATCACAGCACTGTCTCATACCTGTTGATAGAAGAAATTCAAGGTTGGTTTGTCTTCAGTAAACTGATTGAGAAATCCTTTGGGCAAATAACGAATTCTCAATTCGTATCTGAAAACATAATTCATAAAACAGAACAATCAGAAAGTAACTCTCAATACACAGTGCCTTGTTGTCTAGTAATATACAATATTACTGAGAACGGCATTAACAATTGCTCTGGGAAGTAATTCCTAAAATAAGAAAAAACAATTAATTTTTAAATGGAAATTTTTTTTCAGCAAACAACAAGCATGTCTCTCTGGTCCGCTGTAGCTCAGTGATTCCGCAGGGGAGGGCGTGCTGGAGAGGCCGCAGCTGCATGCGTCCCTGACCGCCCACCCCTAACGCTTGCCTCCCACGTCAGTTATCTAAAGCTACAACCGCAAAATTGCACTCCCCTGTCTGCGCTCTATCCTTCAGTAATAAGCCTGTGAGAGTCACCCACAGCGAGGGGCTGCCGTTTGCTCCTACCAAAAACGCACTGCACTGTCTGACGTGACGAATGACTTGTCCACGGTACTGCTGAAGGGTCCCTGGGCTGTTCCACCCTGTGGTTATTAGCAGTAGGAATACTTCTATCTCTTCTTATCCCGGAATCAAAGGCAATGCATTTGCTCAGGAAGAACGCTTCAGGGACGGGACAGCAAGGAGGCGTCCTGAGTGCTCTGTGTCACCCGTGTTCTTGGTGTCTGCCACGTGAACCTGCTGTGCGTCTCTGCGGAACACCTGTGCACACCCTCACGGAGGATATACCCGGATGCAATCCCTGGCCACAAGGAATGCACACTTGAGCTGCAGCAGACGTCCCCACACAGGGTCACGTCCACTCCCGACCCTTTCAGCTCGCTGGCCTCTGACGGGCATGCTGTGACAGTGGCACTGGCTGCAACTGGCATGAACGTGGTAACTGAAGAAACTGAGCATGCTTCATGCTTGTTGGCCATTTTTCATACCTTCTTTTGGAAAGTGTGTTTCCACTTTTTTTTCCCTACTGGATTGTCTGCCTTTCTCTCAGCCACCTTCTTCACTGTACTGATTATTCTTTTTTTTTTTTTTAAAGATTTGTAGATTTATTTTATTTATTTAAAAGACAGAGTCACAAAAAGGTGGAGAGAGAGAGAGAGAGAGAGAGAGAGAGAGAGAGAATATCTTCCATCCACTAGTTCACTCCCACAAAAGTGGCAGCTGAACCCACCCAAAGCCAGGTGCTTCTTCCAGGGCTCCCACAAGGGTGCAGGGGCCCAAGCACCTGGGCTATCCTCTGTTGCTTTCCAGGTGCATTAGCAGGGACAGCCAGGACTCAAACTGGCGCCAATATGGATGCCAGCACTGTAGGTGGGGGCTCTAACTCTCTGCGCCACAGCACCGGCCCCCGATGATTCTTTTATATTCTACATATGAGACCCTGTTAGACATAGTATATGCTTCCTCCAATTCTGTGGCCTGCCCTTCTGAAAGCTACATTTTTAATTATTCTTTTTTAATCAATTAACTTATTTGAAAGGCAGAGTTACAGAGAGGCAGAAACAGAGAGAGAGAGAGAGAGAGGTTTTCCATCTACTGGGTCACTCCCCAGATGGTTACAACGGCTGCAGCTGCACTGATCCGAAGCCAGGAGCTTCTTCCAGGTGTCCCACATGGTGCAGGGACCAAAGGACTTGGGTCATCTTCCACTGCTTTCCCAGGCCATAGCAGAGAGCTGGACTGGAAGTAGAGCAGCCAGGACTGGAATTGGCGCCCATATGGGATGCCGGCACTGCAGGCAGCAGCTCTATCCGCTACAATGGATGTAGCATGGTGTCGGCCCTTTTAATTATTCTTCTGCTGCTTTTTCATGCCCTTTAGAAGGGGACTGCATCGGAAGCAGAGCAGCCACGACTCACTAGTGTTTACACAGGGAGGCAGGAGCTGCAGGTGGCAGCCTAACACAATGTGCTATGATGCCAGACCCCACTGCAATTTTCCTTTATAGAAGTCTAACAGTTTTGGGCCGGCGCTGCGGCTCACTAGGCTAATCCTCCATCTTGCGGCGCCGGCACACCCGGTTCTAGTCCCGGTCGGGGCGCCAGATTCTGTCCCGGTTGCCCCTCTTCCAGGCCAGCTCTCTGCTGTGGCCCGGGAGTGCAGTGGAGGATGGCCCAAGTACTTGGGCCCTACACCCGCATGGGAGACCAGGAGAAGCACCTGGCTCCTGGCTTCGGATCAGCGTAGCATGCCAGCCGCGGCGGCCATTGGAGGGTGAACCAACGGCAAAGGAAGACCTTTCTCTCTGTCTCTCTCTCTCACTGTCCACTGCCTGTCAAAAAAATTAAATAAATAAAAAATAAAAATAAAAAATAAATAAAAAGAAGTCTAACAGTTTTAATAGTTTTCTTTTCTTTTGAATTTAGGACTTACTAGCTACTTAACCACTGTATTTCTCTCTAATCAACTTAAGAACCAGGGAACAGAAGTTAACTCCCCATTCTGCAGCCCAGTCAACTCAGGGGTCAGCTGCAGGGTCACTGTGTCCAGTACTCAAGCAGGTCACAGGAGACTTTCTGCACTGTTGCTGCTCCCATTTTAAAGGTAAGTTGAAGGGCGGAAACTGAGGCAGAAAATCAACACTGGGCAGCCTGGCTGCACATCTGCCCCAGCACCGGCAGCCTGCTGCAGCTGTAGCTATCAACTGACCCATCCTGAACCCTCACTCAGCACACACAGGAACTGGGACAGGCATTTTACACAGATCATTTCTCCTTAGGGAAGCATAAAGAATGTGTGCTCCGGATCAGGACTGCATGCGGGAACCCAGCCACGTCACAACGTTATCTGTGCCTCAACTCTGTCATTAGAGTACTGGGACAAACGGAGGAGTCCATGAAAGCAAAAAACCCAGAACAGTCACTGTTTGCTTGTTTGTTTATTATTTATTTATTTATTGGACAGGCAGAGTTAAGACAGTGAGAGAGAGAGAGAGAGAGAGACAGACAGACAGACAGACAGAGAGAAAGGTCTTCCTTTTCCGCTGGTTCACCCCCCAAATGGCCGCTACAGTCGGTGTGCTGCGCCGATCTGAAGCCAGGAGCCAGGTGCTTCCTCCTGGTCTCCCATGCGGGTGCAGGGCCCAAGCACTTGGGCCATCCTCCACTGCCTTCCTGGGCCACAGCAGAGAGCTGGACTGGAAGAGAAGCAACCTCCTGGGACAGAATCCGGCACCCCAACCGAGACTAGAATCCAGGGTGCCGGCAGTCGCAGGCGGAGGACTAGCTGAGTGAGCCGCGGCGCCGGCCCAGAACAGTCACTGTTGATAATAAATGGTCTCTAAGGTTGATTCTGCTAGTAATCACTCAGCAAATATGCATGCTAGCATCAGTCCTATCTCAGGCACAGTCTAAAGAGGCAAAACGCTGCCTCCTAAGTTTGCATTTTCGTGGTAGACATGTGACAGCTAATACAGATTACAGTGACAGCGGAGGAAGCACAGTGATGGCAGTACTTTCACAGGCAGTACTCCAGGGAAGGACTCTGATTCGGCGATGCTGAGCAGAGATCTACTCAGGAGAGTAGGAGAGGCGCTGTGCAGCTACACACGGCCACGGAGTTCTGAGGGCAAGTGCAGTCAGCAGCAGAGCCCGCGGGGGCACTCAGTCCACAGGATTCCGGGGAAGGTGGGACCGGGGCTGCACCACTCGGCCCCTGCAAGTCTCAATGAGAGGAAGCTGCTGGAGCCTTGTGAGCAGCGTGCTGCCCCCGGCTCTGCTGACCAGGGCCGACAGACAGCAGGAGCTGAGAGAGAAGAAAGGTGAGCAGGGAGGCCCGGGCCAGACCCTGAGTGAAGTTAAGCGGCCGGCACTGTTCCAGCAGGTCCAGCCGCTGCCTGAGTGCCGGCATCCATACGGGCACCACGCCAAGTCCCGGCTGCTCCACTCCAATGCAGCACCCTGCTAGAGTGTCTGGAAAAGCAGCCGACGATGACCAAGTACCTGGGCCCCTGCCACCCCTGGGGAAGACACGGTGCAGTGCGAGGGCCCAGGCTCCCGGCCTTGCCTGACCCAGCCTGGCTGCTGCAGCCATTGGGAGAGAACGATGCAGGGCTGACCTCTCATGTTTGCCATGGAAGCTCTCATGCGCACACTCTCTATATCCAACTCTTTCCAATGAAAAACACCTTTTCTTAAAGAATCTGCTAGAAATCAAGCAGGCTAGTCTCCCCATTTCATGAAGAGAAGTTCTAGGAAACTGCGACTCCCCGCCGTCCTACAGCAGGTGGGAGGCAGACACGCTGTCTCCAGCGGAAGCACACGTGAACGTGCAAGGCATCTAGGCTTCCACCAGAGGCCCTCAGCTCCAGCTCTGGATGCAGTGCAGTGAAGGCATTCCGGCCCTGGCTTCAGGGCGCAGTAGTCGGCACACAAACCTGCTGAAACTAGCTCAAGGTCACCTCATTCCAGTCCAATCACCTGCCCTTTGCACTTAGAGCCGTAACACTGACAGCCACCTTCCGCAGCCCCACTGGTGACGGCGTCGCATCTCCCTCTGCCAGGACACGCATCACTCTCCTCCCCCTCCTGTCACTAGCCTGAGTCTGCATCCTCTCGGCTACTCTCAGCTTCTCTGCTGCAAGACTCTCCTGGCTTCCCAAGGGCCAGCTCAATCCCATCTGCCCCTGTGGGTGTGTTGAAGCTATTTCTTTCTTTCTTTCTTTCTTTTTTTTTTTTTTTTTTTGACAGGCAGAGTGGACAGTGAGAGAGAGAGACAGAGAGAAAGGTCTTCCTTTGCCGTTGGTTCACCCTCCAATAGCCGCCATGGCCGGCGCACCGCGCTGATCCGATGGCAGGAGCCAGTCATCAACTAACACTGAGAAGGTAAAAATACAGTGAGCAACATGGCATCTGCAGTCTCAAAGCATCTCTCCAGACTTTTTTTTTTTTTTAAATAGATTTATTTATTTATTTGAAAGAAAGAGAAAGAATGGCTGAGAGAGAGGTCGTCCATCTACTGGTTCACTCCCCAGATGGCTGCAATGGCCGGAGCTGGGCAGATCTGAAGCCAGGAGCCAGGAGCTTCTGGATCTCCCACCCGGGTGCAGGGCCCCAAGGACCTGGGCCATCTTCTACCGCTTTCCCAGGCCACAGCAGAGAGCTGCTTCGGAAGAGGAGCAGCCGG